TCGATGGCCTTGTAACCAGAAGGCCCTGGGTCCGAGTCCCTGTGGTGGGTGCGTACTGTTGAAGAGTCCTAAATTAGGACTAAACAGCTGTCCAGGACTTCCAGCTATTTTTCCAATGGTTCTTTAGGTGATGTCAGCTCATGATGACATCCTCTAACCGATCAAACAAAATCCCTACAAAACCAATACTTGACTGTCGTTATCCTCTTGGGTTTCGAGTGGGACCTAAGGTTTCAGTAGTATATTTCCGCTTTACATACTGTCTTCTGAAGTCTCCTTCATGTGGCTATCGTCTCCTTTTCACATGATTTCTGATTTATCACCCTTTGAGTCACGCCCATCCTGTCGCTTCCGATTCTATTTCCATTCTATGCCCTGGTGCATGATGTCAGTCGGGGAGTCTCCTAAGTCTGTGTTCAGTTTGTCTTCATTTTCTTTGGCGAATTTATTGGTCAATAGCTTCTTAGTCAACGTTTATTGACTTGTTCTACACAAAGTCTTTATTCAATATCCTCAAAATTTACTTTTTACGCCATGCGGTAGCATTGAACCTACGCTAAACATCTATTTTTAACCGTAGTTAGCGGAATCGAATGTAATCAAGACTACTGGGAATTCCTCCACAAACGTTTCACTTTTAACCAATAATATCAAAGTCAGTAATACTTCTTATTTCCAATGAGAACTACACATTTCTATCGTTTCAAATAGAAAAAATATACGTAATAGAGACAGGCGTTAATACACAACTGCCTAATTTTGTAAGCCCACATTTTTAAAAACAGAGAATAAATAAAACCGGATGGCTAGCTGTTTTATTGATCGTTAAACGTTTTTATCATAAATTTAGAGATATAAATGAATTGTAACGGAAGTGGGGCAGCTAATTAGCGTATAAAACAGATAGATATAAGTTATTTGGATGAAAACGAAAACGTTCACGTTATGCGTATTTATGACTGGTGTACTATGATATATCATGCAGCATAAATAAAAGTTGTAAGACCAAAAATATTACTGATTAGAAGGATTAGACGCAGAGCTATGAAGACATTCAAGTCCTTGAGTGAAAACAGAATAAAAGGAGACAAGTTTGAAGTATGACGGTGAGAATCAAGTGAGGAGGGAAACAAAATATTCAAGACAGGAAGAATCTCTGCTTGGGGTACAAGTAAAAGGTGAAATAAAAGTCCACTGGTTTTAATTAACATTTCAAAAGAATATGAAATGTTTATACGATTTCGAACACAGATTGATATCAGTTAGAGAACCATTGAAAACCAGGAAGTATTAGATAGCTCCTACTTTCGGAATCATCGACAGTATGCAGCCATAGCCAGGGTTCGAACCCAGGACCTTCCGGTTAGATACCAAAGCTAGCTCGTATACCATTCAGACACTGAGACCCGATTCAATGGCCATTCCATGAATTTTAACCAATTCGTCATTTAGCGTGATAACCAACCAATGTCATCGGTGGGATACCCATCCTCACACTTGATTGGATGGACCTCAATGGTCACGACTTCCCACTAGAACTCCAGGAAACTCTGTCCTACAGCAATGGTACTCTAACTGATGCCAATCCGTGATCAAACTCGTATAAACAAATCTATTCCTTACAAACCAAACTCTTGATAAATATGAAATGTATTATCAGTAGTAGCTTGCGATAAAATGTAATTACACAATTAAACGACATGCTAGTGTATTTACATAGACCGTACAATTAGGCGTGTTTCTTGTCAGATTTCCGAACATCACTCTGCATAGTGGTTAAGTAAAGGACAAACAAAATCTATTTGCAGCGCTATTCTATCTCATCTTGTGGATGCAGAACACAAGATTGACGTTAATCATGCTTTCAAGGTCATTTACCGCATTCCAACAAATCTCACTTTTGCCTTAGGAGTTCGATTACTGAGTATTTCTGAGGCTGGCTGCTGGGATCCATATTAAGAAGCCTGATTTGTGAGTCCAAAAGAATCTAGTTCAGACATCTTCCTTACCTTGGCCATCTAGGTTTGAATGATCCTTAATTTTTGTAGATATTTCCCTAATTTTAGTCTATATTCTATTTGCTATTATATCTTTATTATTATTGTTATTATAATTTAAGCATCTTTAATGAACTGTGATTCCATTAACCTTACTTTACAAATCGATATTATTTAAAAAACACTGATATTTTTACTGACTACTAATCTAGAATATTCTATGTATATAAACATATATATATATTTGTGGAGCCAGAAGAGGAATTTATCGAAAAGGATACACTTTGCTCAATTATTTTGTATTTATAATCAACAAAAATATAATTTTTCGAGGGGAGTGAGTTATATGCAGTGATATAAGGGAGATATTAATGCTACGAAAATATTAACCAACAAATAGGGTATGCTTAATGTAAGTTTAAGGGAAGATAAATAAGAATAACGGTGATTGTAAAATACAGAGGTCGTATATTGAACAGCAATCAAAGAATGAAGATGCGGGATAAGCTTGGTTTAAATCAAAAGGATGACAGATAGTAATGCGAAGTAAACAAAGTGAAAATGTATCGGTAGAATGTCCGTCAACCACGCCTTATGTAGTCCGGGATTTGATCCCCGGCCAGCGACCGACGCACTCCTGTACCTCGCTAAGCCAGTAATAAGACTGGTAAAGAGGGAAGGTTGGACACATGAGGCTAGCATCCCTATTCCGTAAAAATAAGCATCACTGATACAGAAACTTCAAAGCTCTTGCCTGAAGCCGTATTTCCCACTGGAAACGTAAAGGAATAAAAACTCTAGGTGAAAAGAGTAGGAGGTGTGGAGATGAGATTGCTACGGTGTAGAAGTACATAATAAGATGTGAAAATATGAAATAATTACTCCCATGGTGAACTTCTATTAAGCCATTGGTAAACACAGAAGGTGCATGTACTATGTCACACACATAATTTTTCTATCGTTATTGGATCTTATAGCTTTAACTTTGGCTAGGAATCATAAAAAACAAGATTCAGATTTTCAACAGTAATTTCATAGAGGAGATTCTAAATGGTTCACAGACTCCACGCATAACCAAAATCACTTCCAACTGTCTACAGACTCCCATCAACAACCACCTTGGCTCCATAGTAAAGATCGGACGGTCAAAAAGGTTGTGTGACAAGGAGCTATGGCAACAAACTAACCAAGAACTGGTTGCCCAATAAATATAGCGAAGGAAAAGCAGATGGATCGGACACAGCCTGAGAATACCGTCGAGTAACATAGCACTCTAGACCCTCGAGTGTTGCCGGGATGTATCAGTGGATAAAATGGAGGAAATCGCCTGAGGAGAAGATACTAGCTAATGAATCAGGACTGCAGTACAAAATGGAAAAGTAATGCTGGAACCTCATGTTCCATTTGGAACCCCAGGAAATCGTAATAAAACATGAAAGTAGGAAGCATAATCGCTTACCTTTGAGTAGATTGTCTGGCATTCGATATACGACCGTAAATGTCCTTACTAAATAAAATTAAGATGACCTAGTTCCTGCCTTTCCAAGTCGAATAGGCACCCATTCACGAGTGTTTAAGCACTATGTGCAGTCGATTTCTGTATACCACAGTGGTGGATAATGCTTGTGTTTCGTTGTTGCCCCACAGTCATCAAACTACCGATCAAGGAATAAACTGACAGAAAAATGTAATGGGACTTCTAGCCAGTGTGAGTGTTCATCGATGTTACGGTTATTTACTGGAGTTAAAAAATATATCAGATAAAGTTGTGGTGAGAGCTGCCTGCCAGCCAGAATTGTGAACAACTATTTACGTCAATGTTTATGGCCCGAATGGGGGTCACAAACCAATCACAGTAGGCTTAACGTGTGGAAATATGATTCGCAGATATATGGCTTAACTTTCTAAGAAACAGTCACAAGCAGTACAGAATAACCTTCAACAAGAAAACAACCAATCAGAAGACGTTGTTTCCCTGCTAACAATAACGCTAATACTGATATACATAAAAATCTATAAATATCCCTTGATTTTCTAAATATACGATCTGCTGCCTGGCCCTTGTCGTTACGAGGTTAAGGGTAAAATACTCATTCAGATGATTTAGTATACGTTTCAGTTTCTCTTGAAGAGCAGTTTACTGTCATCACTTCATCAGATCTGTAGACTGAAGTAATGAAGTTATGAAAAACACGCTAATTTGGGTCACACGATCATAAACAAATGACTTATGGGTTATTTTCCCATAACAACTGACTGCCTGACTGAATTTCAACGTGGAGCCTTGCACAGAAGTTTAACAGTTCAAACTATCACACTCCATATGGCTGATGAAGGTAGACAGGGCGAGAAAAATACAGATTAAAAATAATGATTGACATTATATTAATCAGGTGAATAATAAGATAGGAAGATAGGAACATGAAAAAACATTTTTTTTATTTTGATTACAGCTTGATGCCACACCGTATTTTCACTACAAGTATGGAATTTTCAGCATGGATATCGGTAGCCCAAATTTTGCAGACCGACTATAGATATCGGGTGTGCGTCGGCAGAGGATCGAACCCCAGACCATGTGCATGATCGGCGAGAGTCCTAACCACTGTGCCACCAACGCACATGATGGTTTAGTTGATATAAAGAAGACTGAATGCGTGTGAGCCATTGAAAATGATTTTGAACCACACCACAAACAGTCTACAGTCATCGGTGCTTAGCGTCCTAAGGGACCCAACCACATAGTCCACGCCTCTCTACACGGCTCAGACAAACTGTCAAACGCTTCGTCGACTGATGTTAGATTCTGATTTAACCACTCTAAACCCTTTTTCAACCTAATGTTATACTGGTTAACATTGCTCGTCTAGGAGGGTGATGGCTCAACCAAAGGGATTTATTTACTATGCCCATTCTAGTACAGACTGAGTTATACTTTTGCTCCAGGGCAGTATTTCGATAATAGATTGGTTTTTAATGTATTTTTTTAATTTTCTATAATAGGTATAAGGAAACCGAACTCAAAGGAACCAGTGAAAGTTTTTGAATTCGACTACAGTTACTGGTCACATACAGATGTAAGTTAATGTTGAACAATATTTTGAATAAAAATGAATCCAATATTTGTTACTGCCGTCTCTCTTAGCGATACATTTCCCTTAAATTGAAACGTAGAACAAGGAATTCAGCGAGGAAAATTCTCTCTTCGACGATTTCATTTTCATAGCTGTACAATCAGTTTTCTTATGTGTGTGCGTGTGTGTTAAAGTTTGACAGTGAGCGGAAATACTAAAGTACGATAATATTGGTGTATAAGATTATGAGTTACCATTGATTAGATATTTGAAGGTCCTGGGTTCGAACCCCAATGGGTAGGTACTGGCTATGATTCCCAAACTAGGACGAAACAGCTATCCAGTACTCCAGTGCTGGTTTTCAATGGTTCTCTAACTGATATCAATTCGTGATCAACTCGTACAACCAAAACTAATCCTTACAAACCAATTATTGAAAATCAGTAGAGGTCAACCTAAAGTTCACTAAACATGTTTGAAATAGACGATCGGAAAATAAACTACATCCGGAAATGTGAATATATGAATATAATACGGTGAAGACATAGGATGAGTGAAATGTTTTCAAAATAGTAGACTAGATAAAACGTTAGAATATGATAACATATGGTGAAATAAAATAAAACAGAAATGGAATATGGAATAAAGAAGAAAAATAAAGTTTTTATGTGAATTACGTTATAAAGTCATCACCATGGTAACGAAAGAAATCGTACAAATTGTTTTTGTACACAAACTTCTGGCTTTATGTTGTATATTGCCAAAGCCTCTGCTGGACTGTGTAGACTATATTAAACGATGTGTCAGATGCTGCATGGTCAGTATCTACAGCATGTTACAACACCGATGAATTAATACCTCTAAGATCCTCTTCTTTACTCAGCCAAGCTTAAAGATGCTCTCGATGGCGGAGGCGGGATATGTTTCTCAACAAACCTCCTATGTACCTGGCTCCTCAAGAGCAGGTGAACATATAAATAAACATGGAATTAGACAACTGAGGTAACATTTCCCTTACATTAAGGTGCATCAGTGGACGGCTAGAATAGGCTATTTATACAATGGCAGGAAGGAATGTTTTTCTCAGTGACCTTGTCAGACGGTTTTTAAGTGCCTCACTCGTAGTGTCACCCCTAAATTCTAAGTTTAGGCGCAACACTTTTTTAGCTACCTTTTAAATGTCTGCATTTCTTCCATGTAATTTGCTTTTATCCTCTACGAAGCTTAGTGGACACCCGTTCTCTGTGAAGGTTTCTTTCACTTGTTTGGGTTCATCATCAGCCGGACCCGTGTTGAGAGAGAACGGATTAGATTACTTTTTCTATCTATGGAGACAAAACTGTTAATGATAGATAGTACTACTAAACTAAGCTGAATCGAAATTGGTTGGTAGTCATTAACAGTGGAATCCAGAATGCTTATTTCTTCCCTTTGGAACTGGTTATTTGGATGTACGTGCATTTCCACTGCCAGTCATCATTATTCCAAAATACATTCACGGTATTCCTCAAACATCGTCGAAGTGTCTGTACTAAGAGCTGACATATCGACAGAGACCGAACCTTTGAATCAGGATATGTAAAATTAACCTGAAAATAAACTAAAGTGACTCGGTAGAAATTCCCGGTCTATCATTATAACACCACAGGTTGCGTCTAAAGCTCGGTGTGATGTTGCCTGCAGCGTTAAATAATAATAATAATCTGCTTTATTCCAAAAACAGTACTTAAAATACAGAAAGGAATTCTCAGCATTTGTCATATTATTGCATCTAATTTGCTCAAAATATAAATAAAATCAACCACAAGAATTAGTCTACATTTACGATATAATGTCAAAAATATTCGGAGTACATAATAACAGTAATAAATATAATAATAATAACAGTGGGTTTGTTTGAAACATTATTATCCATTCAGTTTGGAAATGTTTAGTTTGTTATAGAGTATTGAATCTTACGTTCTGTTGATATAGAATGGTGAGGGCAAAGACAAAAGATAACAGTTATTACACAGCTTAAGTGATGTTTACGCTGATGAGAAAATAGACGAAAATAGCACAAAAATCAGTGAGAGGATTATAAATATAAGAAGAACAATAACAATAAAGCTTGGTGGAATAAGGATGGAGAAAATGGTTTACTTACTAGTGCAAAGATGGTTAGTTAGTCAGTTCGTTCTTTCCTGTCACTACTTCCATCACACAAAATACGTGGTGCCAAATATGGTGTAGTGGAATTTTTACACTTAGCCGTACGCGCATAAAGTCTTCTGGAAAGACTTCTTGTTTCACCTGAGGAGACACAAGGTGAAAGCTGCGGGTGCTGCGGTGGATGCTGACAGTCTGAAAAAAATTCCTTCAACAAATTTGTTGCCCAAAATCAAGTGCCTGTTAATGACAATTTCAACGATATGGCCCAATGGGATGCCACCAATCGCCCTACTGGTAGCTAGTCTTCAGAGTTCTACGAAGTATGACATAGACTTTTTTTAAGCAATCCAGGAAAGAATAAGGGTGAACAGTAAAGAAGAATAGGTAAAATACACGAGTTGACAAACTGTAAGAGAAAGGGTTCAGTTATACCCGAGTGCCTTAACTTCTTAATGTAAAAAGTCAGACGAAATATTGTTTTAGAAATCGCTAAGACATGAGAAGACGAGGATAGGTCAGAAGACAGAATCAGTCCAAGATACTTAACATCAGACATGATTTCTATATCATTATCATCAATTCTGCGACGGTCATTTGCATGTTAGAGTGACAATTTTGGCTACAAGCAAACATTAAACAGGCTTTTGTTTGTATTTCTGCCAAGTTGTCTGGTCTATTTTCCTATACAGCTACACGAAAATGCAGCATAGCCTTATATGCCGGAACAAAGACCTGAATATTGTTGGTTTCTGTAGGGAAGTATGGTGAATTCCTGCTTCGAATTGAATAATTCGCAAGCAACTAATTTGATTCCCAGACAATACAGAAATTTTTTTTAAATAATGTATAAATGAATTTTGTAAACACGGAAAAGTTTTTTAACAATGCATGATTACGTAATAGAAATTCTGTATCGCCAAGGATCGCGAATTTCATGTTAAACAAAAAATAAAAAAATATATAACACCCCAACAAGTAAACGCTTATTGTGAATCTAAAGGATTTTTATATTGATTCCATGAGCTCCCATTGGAACATAGGGCTTCAGGCTACAGGCCTGTAATTTTCAGTAGGCGTAATATAGTTTTCATAGGGTGAGGTTGCCAGTGTCACGCCCAACCCTTCTTCTCATCGAACATTACTATCGGATAGTGAAGTGGGCGGGGATTAATGAGTGTGTCAACCAGGAATTGGATTCTTGACCACGTGTTTGGTTAACAAACATTCTCCCACTAGTGAATTCCATTCACGGTTAACCCTTCCATAATACAGTATGATTAGCATAAGGGATTCACAACTTTCTGTAAACTGACATCTTCAACTTTACATTTCAAAGTGTTACATGATATTATGAATTACAGTGTCAGGAGGATGCAAAACTTCTTTTAAATATAGTTCGCAATTTAAAAAACATTTCACAGCTTAAAAAAATCAAATTAAGGCAAATATCCAAGTATTGTAAAAAGGGAAGATTGGGCATGAGGCTAGCAACCCCATCCCGTGAAAATGAACACCACTGCTACCGAAGCTGTAAGCCTCTAGGTTGAAGCCCTATTTTCCACTAGGAACGTAAAGGAATAAAAAATATCCAAGTATTGATTTGTAGGAATTTGATTGATTGGTTACAGGATTCCATCATGAAATGACATCACTTAGGGAACTATTGGAAAACCTGGGAGTACTGGACAGAGGTTTTGCCCTAGTTTGGGACTCTTCATCGGTACTCACCCACCAAGGCTCGAACCCCGTCCAGTACCCTCAGGTTTTCAAATGGTTCACTAACGGATGTCGGTTCATGATGAAATCCTGTAACCAGTCAGTCAAATCCTTAAGAACCAATACTTGAATATCAATGAGACGCTCACTAGCAACTGGCCCTATTCAGGAAGGTAGTTACCAGGGGTCCTTGTGGGAAGTCGTGACCAGTAGGGTACATAAGGTTCGATGTGAGGACAAATACTCACCGAAGACATTGGTTAGCGGTTGCGCTATTTCATGAATTAGCAGAAGTTGGAATTCATGGGCAGGTCATTGCATGGGGTCCCAGTGGCTTAATGGTCTGCGAGCTCACTGGCCGTGTAACCAGAAGGTCCTGGGTTCGCACTTTGCTGGTGGGTGCGTACTGTTGAAGAGTTCCAAATTGGGATGAAACGGCTGTCCAGTACTCCGTTCAGGTTTACCATTGGTTCTCTAACCGATGTCAGCTCATGATTAAATCCTGTAACTTCTTCAAATATCATTACGCAAATTGTTGAAGTAAACTTGGTCGAGTTCTGATCCCTCATTTTCGTCAGATTTATTCATACTTTGTTACTAAAACTTAAGACTAATAGTGAAATGCGTCGGTGGCTTGGCGGTAGAATGTTAACTAACCACGCATGTGGTCTGGGGTTCGATCCCCAGCCGACGTACTCCTGCACCTCGGTAAGCCAGTAATAATGACTAGTAAAAAGGGAAGATTGGGCATGAGGCTAGCAACCCCATCCCGTGAAAATGAACACCACTGCTACCGAAGCTGTAAGCCTCTAGGTTGAAGCCCTATTTTCCACTAGGAAAGTAAAGGAATAAAAAAATAGTGAAACGGTTTTAGAAAACTCCAGTCAGCAGTGGAGGGTAAATATACACAAAAGTAGTATTTGTAGACATTTCAGAGTGACTGAATCGACGAGTTGCGTTGGGGGCACAGTTGTTAGGACGCTCGTTAACCATTTACATGGTCCGGAGATCGATCCCCAGCCGACGCAAACCTGATATCAATGGTCGGCCTGCTAGATTTTGGCTACCGATATGACATGGTGAAAATTCCATATTTGTCTCAAAAATACTGTGTAGAGTCAGGCTATGATAAAAATATAAATAAATATAGTTCAGCTGGAGGTGAAGCCAGCGTTGAAAATGCTGTGCCGAAAGACAATCACAGGTTTGCCATTAAGCCACACACTTCAATGGACACAAATTCTTATTCAGTGGTTTACTTCATAAGTAAACGACTAATTTCTAGGCAGTATTCAACACAATCTAAAGACTGTCTGGAACCTAAGTCATACGTAGCGGCTGATTCGTATATCTTATGGACTAATTATTAATACGATAGTGACTTCTTCCTGCGGACAGCTTCCTTAGGATAAAATATTGATCGAAATATCCCCAAATTGAGTCATAAGAAAAAGACGTTGACAGCGAAGAAAATTTTCTTTTTGACGATTCAAGCTGCTGTACAGTCGTAATTAAATTTAACAAAGAAATCAGTAGACTAATCAGAGACTGGTAAAATTTGTCCTCGAAAACGTATTACATAGTATAAGGTGTAGACTAGAACGGGTCACTAATTGAGAATTAGGAAAGGGGCAGAAGTTGGGGTGACGTAATAAGTGTGAGAAAACGACTAATCAGTATAGTTGTGTCGAGTGGACAAGAACTACTTGAAAGACGGTGAAGTGGTTTCATAAAATCTAAATCAAAACGCAATATTATGAATAAACATTAGTAGAAGTAGTGATAATAAATAAGGATGATAAGAATAATAATACTTAACTTATGCAGTAACAGGAGTCTAAATTATAGTGAGAACGTTATTCTGGCCACGGTAGTGGGGGTGAATGTATTTGGTGCTTTTGAATATAGAGGTCTGGTTTCAGATCCCGAATAGCCAACGATTAAGCTGTGTGCAGATGGCGTATTCCGAGTCCTTTCGTGTGAAATTGAAGGACTCTGTGTAGCACTATGAAGTATTCATGCTGGTGTGCTCGATGTCCACAGTTGACAAGGTGTTTGAGGATGGAGCTGATAGCCAGGCTGGAAAGTGTTCCAGACTACGCTTGCCGACCTGACGTTGCGTACGGCCGAAATACTTTGCTCCACACGAACAAGTAAACCCATAAATACACACTGAGGTGGCCAAAAGTGGTATCCTGTCCTTATAGTTAGATCGGATAAATTTTCCCCTGGAGGACGTGATGTGAAGGGCGGCTGTTTGAAATATCTTCTTTAGACATTTAGAAAGGCGGTTTCTAAGAATTTCTCCTTCACTGTCACCTTTGAATTCCAGGTTCACGAAGAGACTTTTCCTAGGGAATATTGATTTTGTCACAAGATGATATCCAATTGGCAAAATGTTGATTCTTTCTTACTTTGGATTTTCCAAGGGTGAACAGTTTACAGTTATGTAGAGGAACAACCTTAAAGTTATATAGTTATGAAGAGATCACGTTACCGTCCGTAAAATGTAACATTCTACTCCAAACTTCTTTCCAGTCGAACGAGTCGGTATTTCATGGTTTCGCTACAAAACGCGTCAGATCTTTCTCATTTAAGTCTTATAATTTCTCTTGTCCTTTACATGATAACCAAGTCGGAAATTAAATACATAGACGTCATTCTATCTGCTGATCTTTCCTGGCCTTCTCATATCTTGGCGATTTCTAAGAAAATATTCCGTCTTACCTTCTACATCAAGAAGTTAAGACATTCTGGTATAACCCAACCCTTACTCCTACAATTCGTTAATTCTCGCATTCTGCCTATTATTCTCTATTGTTCCCCCTTAGTTTTTCCCGGGCTACTGAAGAAAGACTATAACATATTACTCAGGATGTTAAAGATTGTCAGCAGGGTAAGCAACGTGCCACTTAACCAGTTTGTTAATATTCTGGTTGACAGGCACATGGACTCATGTGAAAAATGAGCTAAATCCATTTTATCTAACTCACACCACCCTCTTCATTCACAACTCTCCCCCTGCATCTCATAAGGTAAAACAAGAAGCCAATATAGAAAACTATATGCTCGCACCAGCAAGTACAAAAACTCAACCATACCCTACTTAGCTCGTGTTGTGTGCGATAAAGAAAGCGTTATGCGTGACACCTATAATTCATTAAATAGTCAGTAGTACAACTGGATCTCGTCTTTCCAACTCATATCATTTATAGGTACAACATTTTCTTTCTTTCTTTTCCTATTCTCTCTCTTTTTTCCGTTATGTGCTGCTTTGTTTCTTTCTCTCGCTTACGCCAGTAAATATGACAGCACCTACTTTTCTAACACCTTCAAACACTGTTCAACTTTGGCTTTGCTACCGACATGCCAATACATTGTTGTCATAATGAACTGAGATTTCCTTAATCTATGTAGAATTCTATTTATTGATAATGTACTAACTGGATGCAATACTGTAGTAAAAATGCTGAGAATTCCATTCTGTATCACATGTACTGTTTTGGAATAAAGCAAATTATTATTAGTAGTAGTAGTATATTTCTCCGATTCCATATACATATATATTTACTTACATATAACTGTCCTATTTTATTTTATAGAAATCTGATCCATTCTATGCAGATCAAAAACAGGTCTACAGTGATATTGGTGTTGATGCTTTAAATCATGCTCTGGAAGGATATAATGTATGCATATTTGCCTATGGTCAAACAGGATCCGGGAAATCGTATACAATGATGGGTAAACCAGGTGTTGATGGACAAGAGGGTATTATTCCCCAACTGTGTCGTGATCTATTCAAACGATTGAATAACACGCCATCAAATCAAATAGTACAAAATATGGTCGAGGTAATTCTATGCGTAGTTTCTTCTTTCTAAAGTCATTTTTTTTTATTAAAATATGTTTTGTTGAATGGTAAAATCAACTGTTCTTTGCGTAAAGCGTGATACATATTCTTATAAGAAGTTCATAGAATCCTTCGCAATAGTGAACTTGAACAAAGCAAGAACAAAATATGTAGACAGATAACACGAGCTCATTTTTGTGTTCTTGGAGATTCTTTTCAACTGTCTACAAGCTGAGAAATATAGAAAATGTAAGGAGTGACAAGGAGTAATTGATAGGGTTACCCTGAACTAAAGCGAACCAAGTGAACGACCATTATAATAACCTTATTCAACCAATCAGATGAACGCATAGTAAATATGAATGTGGTAAACGAACTACATTGCAAATTCCTTCCAGAGCTAGTGTTTGAGTGTCGTCCGGATAATGGGGTTATAGGAAGCAATAAATTATTTAGATGTGGAGGGGTTATGGCCTGACAGAAATATACAGTCGATGTTGATAGACAAATGTACACATGTCCGGTTTGTCGTTGCAGAAAATCTCTCCGAGAAGGCATGTTGTTTCTGTTTTAAGTTCATGAGTGAATGAGTTATGAAACAGACTGATGTACGGTTATCTGGATGATTGTTTTTACAGAAATTGGTTTAAGCCGTCAGTGAAGACTCTTATAAGGAATTGGAAGGTATTCTTGTCAAATATTCGCCATAGTTACCCTCTATAACTATTTTTTTAACACGCGCTATCATTTTCAAACCCCAATGGGTGCGTACTGACGAAGAGTCTCAAACTAGGACGAAATAGCTGTCCAGTACTCCCAGGTTTACCAATGGTTCCTTAACCGATGTAAGCTCATGATGAAATCTTGTAAGTAATAAATCGGATCCCTGCAAACGAATACTTGAGAAACAATTTTAAATGACGCAATTTCTCTGTTGGTTGATGAAGACTATTATTATTATTGTTGTTTCCTTTAATTCCTAGAGGAACATAGGGATTCAGCCGCGCGTCTCCACTGCGTTCAGTTCTCTGCTAGAGTCTTCACCTGGCTCAAAGTCTGCCCACATGCTTTCATATCCCCTTCACATGACCTCCTCCAAGTCACCCTCCCACTGACGACCAACTCGTCGCTTCCCTTTCGGGTTCCACTTGAGAAATGGCCTGTCTAGTGATGTCACTGGATGGTTTGTTTCTTCAGAGTATGGCCAGCCAATCCATCTCCATTTCTTCCTGCCTATTTGTTTCACAATCGGTTCCTGCTCGGTTGCTTCGCTCCCACAGGTCCCTATTGCTGATCTTTTCTAGGCATCCATCTGATCTTGAGTATTGAGCGAAGACAGCTGTTAATGAAGGTCTGTAGTTTGTTTGATGTGCTCTTTATGACGCGCCAAGTCTCTGATCCGTATAGTAGCACTGACTGAATTCACATTGGAGTTGAAAATCCGGATCTTATTTTTGATGCTGAGTGTTGTTGACCTCCACACAGACTTGAGAGTCGTGCAAGCTTGTCTTGCTTTTCCGATTCTTGCTTTGATATCCCCGTCAGTTCCGTCTGCCTGTAGTTGAAACGATGCTTCCACGGTAGGTAGGTGAAGGAGGTTCTTTCTTTCAGGTTCCTCCTATATATGCTGATCGTTGTCTGTTGTTGTTGTTGCTGTTGGTGTTGGCCAGGAATCTTCATCACCTCTGTTTTCTCTATGTTCACCTCAAGGAAGTCCTGTCTTCTTTGGATGCTTCTTCTGCTAACTTGTCGCTTTTCGCTTGCATATCTTTCAGTTTGTGGGAAATCAGACATATATCATCGACGAAGTCAAGATCCTCCAAGTTTTTTGTGTGGGTACATTTTATGCCTGTTTCCTCATTGCCCACTGTTTGTTGCATTATCCAGTCTACTGCAATCAAGAAAATCATTTGCGATAGTAGGCAGCCTTGTCTTACTCCTGTCCTCACTTCGAAGGATTCCGTAAGTTTCCCGATGTGGATTACTTGGCATGCAGCATTGTCGTACAGCTGTTGGATGAGATGTATAATTGTTGGTGGCACCCCGTGATGAAGACTGACCAGGGTTATTATAACGTTTGAGTAGCTATATTTTAAAGAAGCCATTGATAGGAACTTTAAATAACATAAGCCTGGAATGATGTCAGTTGTTAAATTAGTAAGATTCAAGAGGGCTGATTGTCTGAAGAGGCAAATGGACGAACATTATTGAAAAAAAAGACAATTTTTATTATTTTAGACAGAAACAAAGTTCAACTAGGAACAGTATATCATAGATTTGGGTTTATCCGTATGTAAGCAGAAAGAGAGCAGTGGTGAACATTGGAATACTTTGGAGACTAAACGTACAAAAAAATGTATATGATGGTTTGTACATCATGTATTCTTCTAGATATTTTCTTCGGTTTTAGAAAATCTTGCATTTCATCTGAACGTCACTCATCTAAGTCATTTTCATCACTTTATAAGAAATAGTTCCTGTGATTACGCAACCAGTTTTACTGATATAATCGTTTTTGTCTATTATGTTAAATTATGTCTTTTCAAGAATATTCATCTATTTACTCTATTAATAGTCAGTCCCTTCAGCTCCCAATAATTTCATAATAATAATAAGAAAAATGATACCTTTCAAGGGAATTGATTGATTGGTTACAGGATTTCGTCATCAGCTGACATCGATTAGAGAACCAATGGTAAATCTGAAGGGAGTACTGGACAGCCGCTTCATCCCATTTTAGGACTCTCAAACAGTACGTGCCCACCAGCGGGGTGCGAGCCCAGGATCTTATGGTTACGAAGCCAGTGAGCTCGTGGACCATTAGGCCACTGGGACTCGATCCAATGGCCAGCCCTTCAATTCCAACTTCTATCAACTCACGACATAATGCGACCACTAGCCAATGTCTTCGGTGAGTATTTGTCCTCACATCGAACCATCTGTACTCTACTGTTCACAACTTCCCACTAGGACCCCTGGTAACTAACCAACCTGAATAGGGCCAGTTGCTAGTGAGCGTCTCATTGATATTCGACTATTGGTTAGTAGGGATTTGTTTGACTCATGAACCGATGTCAGCTCATGATGAAATCCTGTAACCAATGTTACGTTTATTCATAAAAATTCATTTGTTTACAATACATAGATTTCAGCGAGCTCCGCTGCAAGGTATTTACTCTTTGTGCAGAATCTTCAGATAATATAGTAAACGTTAAATTATCACCTGAAGCCATCCTCTTCCACCCGACGCTGCTTCAGTACTACTCCACAATATTCCTCCTGCATTTCCTTTGAAAAATTCCTAGCTGTTAGTAGAAACTTATTTGAAATTTTGCGCGAGTATGAGTAGTGACTCACTGTGGTTCTTAGTTCATTAGAACAACAGGAGACGGAGTGAATATGACTCATTTTGATGGACAGAAAATTTAGTTAGCCCACTGATTTAAGCAAACCGCCTTTAGGCATTCTGGACGTGACTGAAATATGTTTAGAAGATTTTTGTCATTTAAATTTTTTGTTCAAGTTTCAAGCAGTTGGAAAGAATCTGTGATATTGACAAAAATGAGCTGATATCATCCCTCTAGATTTGTTATTCTTGATTTTCTGAAGTATATTCGAATGTCTGTACCTCCTGATTTCACCTACTTACATGTTTTGCTTTGATAGTATACAGAACTTCACTTATTCAGACGAAATTGATTAGTTATTTGAGAAACATACTTACTATGTCAAAACACACACTTCTGTGATTCTACATCAGACTTGATCTTCACTTATGAAGTGCGTGTATACGTAATAATGGGATGGTATGTGTGAGAATTTTTCAGAGTGTGAATAACTTTTGAATTTTCTATTAGTCGTGTTAAGAAGTTATTTGTACATATATACGTATGCATACATGCCGAATTCTTGTCACCATATTCCTGATTGACGTCGATTGGATAGAACGCTTCACTTTGCCAGATTACTACCACTATTACCCAGTAATATAATAACTATACCATATGCATGAAAGGAGCTATTATTGAATGTTTCTTATTGCACCTGCAATCACCAACTTCAGATTGTGGTTTAATTTATCCAGAGTGGAAATAACACCTATCGCCCCTTTGTTGTTAAGTAATGAAATCTAGTGGGATGTCGTGAACTGTAGGGTGCATCAGGTCGCATGTGATGACAAATACTCACCGAAGACATTGGCTAGTGGTCGCGCTATGTCGTGAATTGGCAGAATTTGGAATTGATGGGCTGGCCATGGGTTAGGGTCCCAGTGACTTAATTGTCTACGAGCTGGCCTGGTAACCAGAAGGTTTTAAGTTCGAACCCTGGTGGTGGGTGCATACCGGTGAGGAGTCTCAAACTAGGACAAAACAGCTGACTGTTCAGTACTCCCAAACCAATACTTGAAAAATTGTCTTTGAAGACTAAAAGTCTTCAGGGAAAACAATAAGCCTGACGGAAATTGAAATTTTCTAATGATGCTTCATTGATGACAAAGCTTAGCTTAGCAGGTATGAAAAACAAATATGAGATAGTCAAAAAAACTAGATGAACAGCTATTTGTCAGGGTATCACATGAAGAGGCATAGTATTATTATCATTATTATTCTTTAAGGCTCCGACTGGAAAATAGGACTTCAACAACACGTCTCTATACTACCCTTTTTCTCTGTGGTCCTCTGTAGGTGACTGCATGAATGCCCGAAACCGTTTATCTTCTCTTCACTTGATCTCTTCCATGTTGCTCCCGGAAATACGCCTGACTCTTGTTTTCTAATTCGGATTCCACTTTAGAGCCTGACGCGTGATGTTACTTAACGGTCTACTCAGAGTGTGTCCAATCTATCTCAGCTTGTCGGTCAATAGATTCTTGGTTCTTTCATGATCTGTTTATCCCTTCCAGCCGGCCATCTGATCTTCAGTATGGAGCCAGCAAAGGTGGCTGTCGATCAAAGTCTGCAGTATCCCGTTGAGAATCCTTTCCATGACGCACCAAAACTCTGAACCATATAGACATTCTGTTTTGGAATCAGTTTTGAAAATCTCAGTCTTATCCCTCATGCTTGGTGCCCTAGATTTCCAGTCTCCATCTTGCTTTTCTGGTTCTATCTGGCTTTAATATCCTCATCCGTGCAGCCTGTAGTTGAAACTATGCTGACCAGATAATTGAAGGGAGTGACTTCTTTCACTTGAAGTCCTGTCTTCACTGCCTCTTCAGCCAAATTGTTCACTTCCACCTGTAATTCTTCGAGTGTGAGTGACATATGATATGAATCGACCTCGAAGTTCGAATCTCTTTGAGTCTTCTTCTCAGGCCTACAGATTCCTGTCTTATCTCTCCCTAAAGTCCACCATAATCACGAATTCACAGATATCTGAGCCGATTATTCCATTTGAAATTAAGCTTGACAGACAACTCTAAATGACGCCATTGTCATCTCCAAGGCGAATTTCTTCAAGTAACAGCCATAAACTGGAGGATCATTGAAAATCAAGGCAAACTGGATAGCTATTTCGTCTCGCCTTAGGATACTTGGTCAAGAAACAAATCAAGGGACTTCATGTTGCTCTGCTAACTCTTTGGACATTCATATGTGGCAAAATCTACATCAGATCCCTAGAGAGTTAACAGTCTAAATTTTTCTTAACTATTTTGCTCAAATACAAACATCCTGAAAGTTGCGTTTTTTTCATCGTCAATATGAAGTATACTTGCTAGCTGCAATTGAAACAATCGATTAATGTAACTGATATCTGTAACCAGTAGGAAAAGGTTTGTCTATCCTTCCTCCTTTAAGAAATTCAACAGCTGTGACTCGTTTTTACTGTCTCTCTCCCCCTCTCTTTCTCAGTATGATGATTAATGTGAGTATCGCTTATCCTTTCTGTTTCGTTCATATAAACACGATATACAAGACAAGCGTAGTTAAAACTCCTTTTTGGATAAAAAAACAACAACTTTAATCTGATCGAAGGATAGACTAACTAAGCGAAACTATCTTTCATTTAGCATACTGATGTAAAAATTTAACTACAATCATTAAAAATGAGATCATTGTGTCTAAATTCTAGTTCTTGTTCTTATATTTCAATTATTTTTTATTCCTTTACGTTCCCAATGGAATATAAGGTTTCGAACTAGAGGTTTGAAGTTTCTGTAGCAGTGGTTTTTAATTTTTGTTAGCCTCATGCCCAAACTACCCTCTTTACCAGTATTGTTACTGGTTTAGCGACGTACACAAGTGTGTCAGCCGGGGATCGAAGACTGGACCACGTGAGGCATGGTTGGCGAGCATTCTATCACTGTGCCACCGACGCACTCATATCTGAATAACGAAGCAGAATACTGATATTTATGACAAGCTGATGGTAATGAGCCATATTTCGGAGTATTGGAGAAGGTTTGTAATTCAGGCGGATGAATATGGTGTGATTCTAATCTCTGATCTGCGTGGGCTAACTGAAAAGTTTTCATTGTCTTTGAAGATGATATGTTCACCTCATATTGAAGTTTGCGTTGAAGATGTTGTCTAGAATGACAATGAAAGCTCAGCCGTTAAAGCATCCAGCTGGTGGAACGCAACCGTATCATTTTTATCCACAAAAGCCACATATCTTCATTATCTCAAAGCATTACAGAAACAGTATGAAATATTAGTGAAAACTATGAAATACTTGTGTCGGTGGCTTAGCGGTAGAATATTCGCCAACCACGCTAAACGTGGTCCGGGCTTCGATCCCTTGCTGACACACTCGTGTACGTTGCTTGCTAAACCAGTAACAAGATCGGTAAAGAGGGAAGGTTGGGCATGAGGCTAACAACTCCATGCCGTAAAATATTAAAAACCACTGCTACCGAAACTTCACGCCTCTAGTTTGAAGTCCTATGTTCCACTGGGGACGTAAAAGAATAAAATAATATAATACTTTTGTAAAAAATTATATTTGTAAAATCTCAGCGAGATTGAAATGAGTAATTCCAACGTTTCGTTCGGCAATCTAGTCCGAACTTCTTCAGGGAAATTAATCGAAATTAACACAACAGAGATTTAAATATCAAAAGGAACATCTCTTGTTTTTAAGAACTTTGTGCAATCATGAGTCATTCAACAAGTATAATAAACAAAATTTTATGAGCTGTGATCAAAATTTGACCTCGGACTTACAAATATTGGTCTACCTTTGTTAAACACTTTAAACAGAGTGCGTATGTGTGTGTGGATAAACAGTTGTAAAACATTTTTTAACGTCTCCATAAGAAGATAGGGACAGTCGAGAATTTTGACCAAGTATTAATAATTAGTGATACATATCCATTTTTTATTTATTGATAAGAATTTCTTATGCATCAGCTAACATCACGCCTTCATGTCTGTTCAAACTGTTAGTATCTAGAATTTTATGATTAGATGTTTTTTCAAAATTATGGTGTTTAGGATTAGAGTTTAGTTGAAGCACTCTGTCGTACTTACTGCTTTGTCTTCTTTCTGAAGATTGAGCTGCTTTGTTCGACCTAGTGGAGTTGTCAGGTGACTCGACAGCTACGGATTTAGGATATGGAATTACTCATTTCAATCTCGCTGAGATTTTACAAATATAATTTCTTACAAATGTCTACTTCTCACTCAGTGCCCAAATATTTTGGAACTATTCTGTCAAATCTTGACGACAGTTCATTTGTAATATAATACTTGTTGAATTTTCCTTGAATAATTTCTTTTTACTTTCTTCTCTTGCTTTGTGTGCTACATGGAGTGTGGCAACTTGAACTGCTACACATCGGTGCAAAGTTCTATGTTGAAAACATACAGACGACAGACAAATATTTTCATATTTATTTACTTTACACTTTCAGGTGTCATATATTGAAATTTATTGTGAACGTGTCAGAGATTTACTCGACCCAAAGAGTAAAGGAAATCTACGCGTTAGAGAACATCCTATACTTGGACCATATGTTGAAGATTTATCAAAATGTGCTGTAATTTCATTCGATGAAATCAATGAACTAATTGATGTGGGTAATAAAGCAAGGTGTGTGTGTGAGTTGGTTTTTGATAGTTTTGTTAATTATTATTGTTCCTACTTCGCTTCACTTTCATATTGCGCCGGCTGAATCTACAGAAATGGCTTGTTTGATAATGACTGCTGAAGGATGTATCAACAAACTCAAAATTTGAACAAAGCAAGAACAACAATTGTACCAGGATAATATGATCTCGTCTTTTATTATTTCGAGGATTCTTCTCAACTGGTTACAACCTGAACGATAAAATTTATGAATTACATTACATTCAAGATTTGAACATAATTTTCCACGATCACAAGGAGTAATTGGTAGGAAGTAAAAGTAACATTAGTCCGGAATGATTTAACTAATTAAGAGTTACAAACACTGACTATTTATAGAATAATTCACATGAACTATGATCAATATTTGACAGTTTATAAATATTTATAGAATAATTAGGCAATTAGGCTTAGAAACAAAAACAAGCTGTTTTGTATTTTTTTTGTTGTCACCAGGGCAGTGCAAGATTCACCACTGTCTCTTTGTGCGTACATAGATTTGGTTTAAGTCATCTGATTGCAGTTGCTTCAGCAAAGCGTAGCAAGTTAGGTTTCTTTTGCTTGTTGATTATTTTGAATGACTTCAAGTTGTCTACATTATGACCAGTGTCTAATAGATGACGCGCAATTGCACTGTTTAATACTTGTGGACCTTTCAGTCTCAGGTTCTTTGGTATGTGTTCAGAAATGTGGACAATAACCCTTCTCTCTGTTCTCCCGATGTATGTGCTTTGGGACGTACATGTAAATTGGTAGACACAGTTGGAGGTAACATGAGGTGGGTATTTGTCCACTTTTGATTGTCTCAATCTATTTATCTTTTATAAACTTAAATAAGGCATTAAGAGGAGAAGTATCTCGAGAAGACATCATTTCGTAGTTCCTTTATGATCACTTTACAACTAGCATGGTTCACATTAAATCCCTGGGCTACCTAAATTTTCTAACTATCAAAAAACATCTCCTAATTAGCACGGTGAATCACGATTTGTAATTGAGCACAATTTTGAGGGAGTTTCCACCTATCACTTGGAGTTCTTCAAAGCATACAGAGAAAGAAGATTTTAGGGTAGCACCGGAGTATTCTCTGGATGGGAAATATCGTTTCATATGATATATTGTCGATTATCATATTATTTGAAGACTCTGTGCAAGGGGTAAATACCTTGCAATGAAACTCACTGAAAATTCTGTATTGTGTATTAATGCATTTCTCAGAATAAAGTAGTTACTATTACCATCATTAAAATATGTGACAATCATTCAATTATTTGAAACGAAAGAAGATCATTATTATTTCCTTTAATTCCTAGAGGAACATGGGACCTCAACCGCGCGTCTTCATTGCGTTCGGTTCTCTGCTAGAGTTTTCACCTGGCTCCAAGTCTGCCCACATGCTTTTATCTCCTCTTCACATTACCTCCTCCTCGATGTCACCCTTGGACTACCAACTCGCCGTTTCCCTTTCGGGTTCCACTGGGGCAATGGCTTGTCTAGTGATGTCACATGATGGTTTCCTCAGAGTGTGGCCAATCCATCTCCATTTCTTCCTGCCTATTTCTTTCACAATCGGTTCCTGCTGTGTTGGTTCGCTCATTGCCAGAGATCTCTGTTGCTGATCTTTTCTGGCCAGCCATCTGATCTTGAGTATTGAGCGAAGACAACTGTTAATGAAGGTCTGTAGTTTGCTTGAGATGCTCTTTATGACGCGCAGTGCAAGTCTCTGATGCATCCGTATAGTAGCACTGACTTCACATTGGAGTTGAAAATCGGGATGTTATTTTTGATGCTGAGTGCTGTTGACCTCCACACAGACTTGAGAGTAGTGAAAGCTTGTCTTGCTTTTCCGATTCTTGCTTTGATATCGTCGTAAGTTCTGTCCGCCTGTAGTTGAAACGATGCTTCCTAGGTGGGTAAACGAGGTTGTTTCTTTCAGGTTCCTCCCATTTATGCTGATTGTTGTCTGTTGTTGTTGTTGTCACTGTTGGTGGTGTTGCCCAGGAATCTTCTTCACCTCTGTTTTATCTATGTTTACCTGAAGTCCTATCTTCTCTGGATGCTTCTTCTGCCAACTTGTTGCTTTTCATTTGCATGTCTTCCAGTTTGTGGGAAATCAGACACATATCATCGGTGAAGTCCAGATCCTCCAAGTTTTTTGTGTGAGTCCATTTTATGCCTGTTTCCTCATTGCCCTCTGTCTGTCGCATCATCCAGTCTACTGCAATCAGATAAATCATTGGCGATAGTAGGCAGCCTTGTCTTACTCCTGTCCTCACTTCGAAGGATTCCGTAAGTTTTTCCGTTGTGGAATACTTGGCATGCAGCATTGTCGTACAACTGTTGGATGAGATGTATAATTGTAGGTGGCACCCCGTAGTAGCGAAGTAGTTTCCAAATCACCTCTCGTTCGACGCCGTCGAAGGCCTTTTCAAAGTCGATGAAGTTGCCATTCCAAGCTTTGTTCAATGATGATCCGTAGTGTGGCGATCTGATCAATACATGACTTGTTTCTCATGGATCCAGTTGGTTCCGGTCGAAGTTTTTCATCCAATCGTATTTCATTAGGTCAAGAAGTCCACATTAGGCGAAAGTCGAAGTGTATTGTTTTCCTTACACATAGTTTGGGATGCATGTGATTAATTCAAAGAGCCTCCATTCCGTTGAATAAATCTTTATTAAAATTATTTGAAATAGCTGGGTAGCAGTCACCAATATTAATTTTGTGGTTAGACATTAATGAATGCTTTCCAATCGTCAATGAAGGGTTTCTGTTCAGATTAAGCACATCTGATTTTTCTGTGTGACTAAGTAATCATTTATGAACATGTTTTTTTTCAGTGACATCAAAGCATTCTACTGGTTCTGCCTAAATATATGTCACTGCAACTGCAGACGGACTTGTGGATACAGTGTGTAGTAGAGTCCACAGAACTTCCCTCTTTAGTCTTATGCACAGGAACTGAAAATCTTCGAGATGTAAGGAAAAGGTACTAAAGCCTTTCAGCTGTATGATTGCATGATGTGATCACCTTTGAGTAGTATTTTTTTAAATAAAAGTATATTTCTTGACTACAGAAACTTTCCCTTCAAGGAACGCACTCTCTCTTTGCTGTGACATACATTAAAGTATTCCGTATATCCATTGGCTAGTAAACCTGAATATAAACGCCATAGATCATCCATTAATGTGTCGCCTTTGAGAACAGACTTCTCACTAGGGGACCTTTATACTAGACAAGAACGAAACTGCTGATATGAAAATATTGTCTACTCCATACCTACTTGAGAAGTATGGATTGCTTAATAGTTCCATTGTCCCTAAAACTGGTTTTCCTAGATGCTTTAATGACTAGGAGAGACGAAGGAACAGTTAGGCGGTTAACATTTCGCAAGCAAACATTGAGTCGATGGTATCTTAATTTCAGTTATATCTATTTTCTTAGTACATTATTGACAATTATCTAAAGAACTATTTCAGTTTTTATAAACTGTCTCTAAGTCAATTCGATCTTATAAAATTGATTTGATCACTGAAACATTTCTGTTCTACACATGTACACGTTTAACATTGCCCTCATTACTGCGAGTATTGTAAGGTGGAACATATGTGAATTCATGCTAATGTTTCCATCTATGTCATCAGAAATATTCAGTCTCTAACTTTGCTCGAGACAATGCTTAAATTACTGTCTAAACTACTCATCTAAGTATTCGATTGATGACCTTAAACGATTGCGTTCAACTTAGGACACGTAGATTTTGGTCGATTAAAACTGTAAGGCTATCCGACGTGTAAATAACAAAAATAGTTTGGTTAGTTTGTAGGACATAAAATAACTCAAAAATTTATGTCATTGGGAAATTGTTATAGAAATAAATATATATTTCAACTTCTGCATAAATCGCCGCCCGCCAAAAATGGAAATAATTAGTTTCAAGTTTATTCACAGATTGACTCTAGGACTCTTTAGCAACGCGTACCCATGACCCCACTAGCTATCAAACACTGGACGTTCAGGTGACGAGGAGGACGTTTTGGTCATTAAGCCAATGGGATGAACCTCGATGACCACCTCATGAATTTTAACTTCTGTCCATTCTCGAGTTTTAGAATACGGATGAAGAGTCCCAAACTAGTTTGATTGGACAGTAGTAACTAGTGCGATGTGTCTTGTCCTTTCTTTGGTTCAGACTGAATTCTGTGAGTCAAGTTTGCGATGTGACCACCATTCTAGGTAGCTCGCCATCATGGTGCACATTGATTTGATGATATTAGATAGTTGGAGACAATCAGCAGGAAGCCTTGGACCTAGGTTTCGTGCTAGTTGGCACCCACCAGTCATCAAGGCATATCTGCAACCTAGAAGGACCTAATGTCCCTTCTGAGATTCGAATCCGCCTCACCTAGTGAGTGCTGCAGTCAGAGACGTTACCACCGAGCTATCGAGGCTCACGATTGATTAAACACTAGTAACTAGTGTGACGTGTCTAGTCAATCGCGAGCCCGAATAGCTCAGTGGTAACGTTTCTGACTGCAACACTCACTGGGTGACGCGGGTTCGAATCTCAGAAGGGACATTATATCCTTCAAGGTTGCAGATACGCCTTGCTAACTAACTGGTGAGTGCCAACTAGCACGAAACCTAGGTCAAGCAAGGCTTCCTGTGGCCGATTGCCTCCAACTATCCCAAACTAGATCGATACATCTGTCCACTACTCCCTGGTTTTCAGTGCTTCTTCAATTGATATCAATCCGTAATCAGTCTTGAAAATAATCAAATCACTACAAGTCAAAACTTGAGAAATAGGCAGATGAGTAACTTCAAGTAGTCCTGTGTTATTACTAACTTGTCAATAAATAAACCCCTTCACCCTACAAACTGTAAGTAGGTTGAATGCTGAAATATTTGTTGACATGTAGCGTTCAAGGGACTTGATATTTAAAATGACGGTCTATTCAAAGAAGGAAGTTGTTCATGGCATACGATTTGACTGACAACATTCTCTTGTATTTTGTCATTGAAGTCTAACGGTTAATACTTCACTGAAATAGCTTGCCAACAACAACAATAATGACATCAAAAAGAAACTCTAAATTCTGCTTGAAAATATGTACGATTTTTCTAATATTCAATGCAAAACAGGTTGTGAATTTCATCTTTTTTCGTTTACTGTTATGCGAACTAAGTGACTTCCTCTGGGGTGTAGTTTTTGTTTCTCTCTCTCTTTATATTTTTTACAGAACTGTTGCTGCTACTAATATGAACGAAACAAGTAGTAGATCACATGCTGTTTTCACAATAGTTGTTACACAGAAATCTGAAGATACAACATATGGGACAATAAGTGAAAAAGTGAGTCTATTGTCTGTTGTTAAGTGTGTGTTTAATTTTGTCTGTAAACTAGCTTGTTAGGGAACAAATCAAGAGGAAATTATTAGCAGTTATCATCTTTTGAGAAGAAATGCATTTTTCAATATTAGTCTTACTATCAAGTTATCGTTTCCAGGGGTTTGATTGGTTATAGGTTTCTTCACGACCTAACATTAGTTAGAGAGGCATCAGAAAATCAGAGAATACTGGTTTCGTCCTATTTTTGAACTTTTCATCAGTAGGCGGAGTTCGAAGTCAGAATCTTCTAGTTACAAGGCGAGCACTTAGACAACCCAACCACTGAGACCTGATCCAGTAACCCATGAATTTCATATTCTGCCAATTCGCGATAAATATAGCTTAACCACTGACTAATGTCACAGGTGAGTAACCGTTCACCTACCTGACTTGGTGGTTCCCGCTAGTTATAACTTCCCACTAGGACTCCAAGTAACTTCCTATTTAGAGTCATTTGCTCGTAAGCTTCAGATTAACTATTGGCCGTTGTTTAGCAGGAACTTGTCCGGTTTCAAGGAACTGTCAGGAGACCAGAGAGTCCTGGACGGCTGTTTCGTTCAAGTTTAGGACTCTTCATTAGGCCATTTGAAATTGAGTGTATGAATAAAAACCCACTCGTACGACTGGGAAATGCATCTTTTTGGGTATATTTCATTTTTGCATTCTGTTGTGTTCTAAGGAATTAATGCCAGTTTTATTTTTCTTAGTATTTAGATATATGTGGCATTAATGAACATTTTTCGGTGGAGTCTGTGCTTCATGGTTGATTCAAACTGTCTTGTGGTGATGTGTGCGTCGGTGGCACAGTGGTTAAGACTCTCGCCGACCATGCACACGGTTCGGGGTTCGATCCCCTGCCGACGCACACCCGATATCTATGGTCGGCCTACAAAATTTGGGCTACCGATATCCATGCTGAAAATTCCATACTTGTACTGAAAATACGGTGTGGCATCAAGCTGTAATCAAAATTTTAAAAAAATGAAAATAAATTTTAAATCAGAAATAATATTCATTCTTTAGCAACCCCTATTTTTCGCTGTCCAAAGCTACACCTATGTAATTATTCTATGTCGAAGAATACTGTTTAATAGTTATCACTGGGCCTATAATATCTAACGGATATTTTTTAAGTGTGAACTATCAAAGACGTTTAGAGTTCAAAGGATTGCTGTAACTCCTCAAAAATTTGGGTCGTCTAGAATGATGTTCACTAATCCTAAAGCTCATAGAAGTGGCCTAAAATCATGAAGTATTTGACTGTTGATGTGAGCCAGATAAGGAGATAAAGACCGTCTGGTTGGGGTCCACTAGACGCTTATTCAATTACTTATTTGAAAAAGTTTCAGACAGATAAAAGTTATCTAGTGACTTGTAAATACCAAGGGCAAATAATTAGTTGAATATTGACATAAGTACTTAAAACGTTTAATTTATAAAGCTCTAATTGACTGAGTTTTCAGTGTGGGACTTCACACAGAATAGCATCAGTTAAAGTTGCCAGACACCACATAGAACACAAAAACAGAGCCGTGATAAGAGGAAATGTACAACAAAAAGAATAACTACGAAGAGAATCATAAGAATTTAATGAGTCTGGGAGGTTATAAAATGGTGAATGCATCTTTGCTATCGACAGCAGCTCTAAGCTGTATCACTAAAAGTCTGAAGCTATGGGTTCTTAGAATCCCTGTGATCTCAGTCAGGTGATCTACATTTTCCTACTTGACTCAGACCAGCAGATGTCGTGTTTTGATTTTAACACCCCAAAGTCTTTCACAATCTAATCTTATGTCAGCTAACACTGTTGAACATCCAAACTAACTAGTATTAACTCAGCTTATTTGCTGACTTTTAGTCCTAACCTATCGCTGATTTTCCAGTTTGTACTGGTTAGATGTTTTGAACAGGATCACAATATTCCCTAAGTATTTTAACTTCTCACTATCTCTACAAACGATATTAATTTGTATTCTGGAGGATGTTATATGTTTTTTGTTATCTGGTGATGTTTACTTGGTCAGACTATATTTAGCTACATTACTATGTACCCCAAGCAGTTATTAAGTTATCTGTAACATTTATGAATGCACTATATAGGACTTTAATTGGCTGAAAATCAGAATGAACTAAGCTCCATCCACTATGATTCACGGCACTAATTTATCAGCATGTGATATCGGTAGCCCAAATTTAGCAGGCCCACCACTGATATCGGGTGTGCGTCGGCAAGGGATCGAACCCCGGACCATGTGCATGGTCGGCGAGAGTCCTACCCGCACTGCCACCACGCATGTAAAACAAGCTTATTTGAATTCTCTATGACTGATGATATAATTGTTTCACCTGACAATCACTGTCGTAATTGATTTTTAATTTACATCTTTTTATTGACTTGGACTCTGAACTTTCTGGTCACCTGATTTACTTTTCATTAGTTGGTAGATTTGGTCTATATTAACATGTTTGTTAATCGCATATTCGTTTGAGTTCCAGGCTTCTATGAATTTTCTGGCACTTTTAATGTTTACTCTGTTTAAAATTTCGACATTATCCTAATCAAACTGATGTTCATAATTATCCACATGCATTGATATTACAGAATATATATCATGTCTTTTCACGGCTGATTTGTGTTCTTGAATTCTGATTAGAAGGCGACGCTTACTTTGACTAGTGCAATATCTATTGCAGCTCATACAGTTTATTTTGTAAATGGTATTAATTTTATCTTCTTTTCTTCTCTTGGATCTTTTGGTTTTCACAATATCGAATGAAGTGATTGTGTTGGCTGGTTTGTGTGCCATATCTATTTCAAACGGTCTTAATATTCTAGCTGTTATTTCAGAGATATTTTTTATATATGGTAAAGTGAACTTTCTTGTAGTCTTTGATGTTGGCTTGTTGTCGGTGTTATGACTCGAGTTTAAACACTTTTTGATGAGATTGTGAGGATATCCAATCTTTTTAAAGACAGTTAGTAGGTGTTTTTCCTCCATTCTCTTCAATACAGGAGTGGTGTTACAGTGTATTTGAACTCTTTTCAACAATGTCTACACATAGTTTCTTTTATGGATATTTGGGTTATTACTATTATAGTCTGTTGAGGATTTGGTTTGTATGAGTTGATTTCCTATATCCTTGTGTTTCTAAATTTCCTGTATTAGTTCACCTGATTAACATATCCAAAAATTGGAATTTTGTTGTCGAATTCTTCTTCTTTTGTGAATTTGACGTCTTCAAATATGTTGCTTATTAACTCGTGGGTATATTCCAGATCATTGCTTTCAATTATTACAAATGTATCACCAACATAACGTACCCAGAGTTTTGAGTTAATTATTGATAGGTATAGGCATTGATTCTAATCTTTGGATAACGGCTGCAAGTATTAATCCCGATATGAGTGATCCCATTGGTGTGCCTTTTATCTGTTTGCATATCTGATTAGTGAACTGGAAATATGTTGTAAGACGTAATTCCATCGAAGTTGAACATTACGTTTTGGTGTTCTCATCGCTGTAGAGTAGGTGTTGCATAGTTTTGGACCAGTTGAAGTGTATAATGCTTTGGCATCAAAGGAATGGTGATTTTTGAAAAAAAAGTGGTCGCATTAATATGTGTAAAACTTGGGCACAGTGGTAGTAATTAATTCCACATTAGTTTGTTTATTGGATGTATCACACAGTGAAACAGTATTATTTACTGGATGAAGAGGTTTGGAACAAAATTTATTGTTCATAATCATATCAATTATAATCGCACGACTTCGAAACTTGAGTTTTACATTTTTATTTGTTCTGTCGTATTTGTCAGGACAGGAATGATTCGACGCCTGTCTCAGATATCTGGAAAATTCTACTACCCCAGCGACAACAAATATGAGAGAACAAAGAAAGCTATAAAACTCAAGTTTCGAAGTCGTGTGATTATAATTGATGAGATGATTATGAACAATAAATTTTGTTAGAAACCTCGTCATCCAGTAAATAATACTGTTTCACTGACTGTGTGATACATCTAATAAAAAAACTAATATGGAATAATGGTGGCATGATTCTGTTAGAAATTTTAATTTTCTGAAAAATTCTTCCGACAGGTTAGATTTTAGTGTTCCTGGTAGCGAAACGATTGGTTGTTAGGAAATGTGATTCAGCGAAGAGTTGTCTTTCTACGAATTTATCATCACGTTGTAGAATTTGATATACCTGATATTTTTAAAGTATATTGTGAAATTTGGTAAAATATAAGTGGTAATCGACTTTATCACACGCTAGGCTCTCTCTCTCGAATGGAAACCAAATGGGAAGTAGCTAGTTGGTAATCATTTCAAGAGTGACATGGATGAAGTCATGCGAAGAGGAGATGAAAGCCTGTGTGCAGACGTGGTGTCAGGTGAAAAAGTTGGTGGAGAACCGAATGCAATGAAGACGTGCGGCTGAAGCCCTGTGTTCTTCTAGGAATCAAAGGAAACAATAATAATAATGTACCTTAATAAAACAGTCCATTTAGTGTATAAATCTCAAAAGGATGTAGAAATAATTAGATTAGTACTCAAATAAAACATCACGCAACAAGGGGATACTTAGGACGAGACTGTATTGCACAAATTCTGTTGAATTATTGATTTAAGGATAAAACTTCGGCACTGTAGTAGAGTACAATTCTATTATGTATGAAATTTTATTTTGATTAAATCACACAGTGTTATTATACAGTAATATTTACTGATGACCACGTTTCCAGCACAAATTATTGCCATTCATAATCATATCAAGGCACTACTCACATAACTTTCTTGCTTCATTTAGATATATGAGCAAAAACTGATGATTAGATATTGGAATAAAATCAATACAAGATGATAAATTACATTCGTAAATGATAATGTTAGTGTTATGAATAAAATCGTTTGGAGTAAACACAGGAGTCAGACAAGGGTGCTTATTATCACCAATGATATT